ATATACACCAGTAAGTGTATACCCCTGGAGATGGGGGTGGGTCCATTTATCAAAGTATAGTGATGGATTAGGAAGGAGGATGGTGGTATGGGATTGCTAGTATAACTATAACTCTTTAAGAAGATTTTAAAGTATTAAGACAAATTTTTAAAATAAAATATAATTGAAATACTTTTGAATTAATACAGAAAAATACATGGTTTGTTGTTGAATTTTCAAATCTGTTAAGTTCCTAATAGTAGAGTAGATTATACTGTCACTTTTAAGCTGAATAATGACCTTGGAGGAGTGACTTTCTTCTCTCTAAAACCAAGTACATATAAATAATATTTATTTTCCTTATATAACACATGTATTATCTAAGTGTTTCCCCACCTTTTTGTTTTTTTTCATTATTGCCTCCCAAAGGGCCTTTTTAGATATTTACCCTCTAATTATCCTGCATGGTATTTTGTTACCACAAATATACTGTGTATTTGTTAATGTACAATGGCCCTTTGGGAGACCACAAACCATTATAATATCTAGGATTATTTTTACCCTCCCAGGAACCAGTTTGCTATCCCTGTTGAGAATGCATGATGTGTGTGTGTTTTGATATTTGAGGAGGAAGAGAAAAAGCTTGCTATGCATGAATGGTTACTTCAGTTTCATGGGACTCAGTGTTTCTGTTACTTTGTCAGGTTGTCCAGAAGGCAACATTAGATTTAATAACTGGCCACAATTACTTCACCAGTAATTGTCAAACTCTAAACATATGCCTTGGAGTACAGTCTTATTTTTTTAATTGATTGGGATTACATTCATTAATAAAATTATATAGGTTTAAATTACATTACAATTAAACCTATATAATTTACAATTCTATAATACATCATCTGTATTGTGTTCTCTGCCCCAAGTCATGTCTCTTTCTATCACTATTTATTCCCCTTTATCCAATCCTGCCTCCCTCATCCATTTCCCTGTTCTAATAACCATAATAATGTCTATGAGGTTTGAGGATTTTTGTGGTGTTTTTTTCCTTAGTTCCTTCGCTTTTTTCATTCATTCCCTTCAGTATTTTTATTATTGAGAATATTGGTAAATATTGCAGGGAAACAATGACATTATTATAGTGGCAGTCATTTTGCCAAATTTAGAATAGTTCTAATACATTAGGAGTAATAGTAAATGTTTAAACTTCTGTCTCTGTGGTTCTCAAACAGTGATGATTTTGCCTCCCAGAGGACATTTGCAATATTTGGGAGCATTTTTATATGTCACAGCTGGGAGAGTGGGTATTGACAGTGTCATCTCATAGGTAGAGACCTGGGATGCTGCTAAACATCATGTGTACTGCCTACCTCCAGAAGAGGAATAATCTGGTCCAAAATGTCAGCCCTGCTGAGGTTGAAAAACCGTGCTCTATTCTAATGATTCTGCTTTTTGGAATCTGTCTTTACAAAATAATGCAAAATACAGAAAACAATTTCACATATGCCCAAAGATACTGAAGCATTAAACTTAATTTTTTTTTTTACAAAGTATTTTCTTTTATAAGACATTATTCATAGTTTGGGATTTTCATTATGTATATATTTTTTATATATTATAGTATATAATAATGAAATATGGGAAACAACCTTAATTTTTTGAAATTTAGAAAGAGATTTGATTGGCCATTACAGATTATGTCAATTTTGGGAACACCAAAGAATTGGAAACTAGTTTAGAGATAATTAACTTGCTCATTTTAGGAATTCCTATGTAAACACTCTTTAACCTCTCTTTGCCCATTCCTTCACTTAAATCTTTTACTCTGAATTACTGCCCTCCTCCCCAAAACATGCACACACACACTGGGTTCTGAATTACTGCTCTTAAATGCATCTTATATTACACCATAGACTAAAAAAATAACATTTAGTTCTGTATACCAGTTGAGGTAAATGATAGCCTGATCCCTGGGGATATTCTTTTATTTTTTCTTAACTATGATTTAATTTGAAAAAACAAGTGGTAATAAATTGGAAGTAGTCATAATGTCTATCAGTAGAGAATGGATAAATAGATTTGACATTCTTCACACAATGGGATACTTTACAAACAGTTAAAATTAATGAACTAATGTATATTTTTCATAAATAAACCTCTAAATCTATTATATAAATGAAAACAAGGCATGGGATATTTAGAGTATGATAACATTAAAATAAATGTTAATGTCGCACAAAATATTATTCTGTTTACAGATAGATATAGATATAAAACCAAATATGGCAAGAAGACACACCCAACCTCAAGATAGTTACCTCTGATGATAAGAAGGAAATTGGATTAAAGAACAGTACAAAGAATCATCAGCCATATCAATAACCTGTAGTCATAATTTAGCAATCCTAATATATAAAGAGCCAGGGTTTGTAATGTCCAAAACAATCGAACGGATGACCAAATGCCAGGCTGTGTGCGCAGCAGGCTCAGCTGGGCAGGGACTGGCAAGCGGGCTGAACTTCTGACCTCTCGTTCCCTCCTGGGTCACACGTGCCGTGGCAAAGCAGCACTGACTACCCCCGCCACGGGTGCTGTGGTGACCCAACACTCACTGCCACTGCCACTGCCACGGGCGCCGCAGCGACTTAGCACTGACGGCCGTTTCCAAGGCTGGTGCAATGGAATTGGTTAGGTGGCCCCACCATCGCCCCAAGATCACCCTGCAGAGGGAGGCCCAGCCACTGGCCGGGAGGCTCCAGGATCACCCCAAAGAGGGAGACCCAGATTACCCAGCTGGCAGTGGTGGGCAGGGCCTTCCTTTATGGGGTGATCAATCACAAGGCTCCTGAACTGCGAGAGGGCGCAGGCCAGGCAGATGGACCTTTTCCCCCCGAGTGCATGAATTTCATGCACTGGGCCTCTAGTCTATATATATAAAAGCCTAAGTGACCATTATGACCAGTTGCCATGATGTGCACTGACCACCAGGGGACAGATGCTCAATGCAGGAGCTGCCCCTGTGGTCAGTGTGCTCCCACAGCCAACCTCCCATGATCCTTCTCCATGGCCCGCCCTGAGTGGGACTGGGCCAGACCGCCTCAGTTGGCCCTGATCACAGGCCAGGCAGAGGGACCGCACCCATACACTTAATTCATGCACCAGGTCTCTAGTGTAGATATAATTACACAGTAATGACTGACTTCCTTGTAACCACAAGTAGTTAACTACAGCAAACAAAATTACTTCCAAGGTTTGTTCTCTTGTTTTTGGAATATTGAGTACTTTCTAAAGGTATTTAGGATCTACTGAATGTTAAAGTAAATGGTTCTTGAAATTACTCAAGCAATACTTGTGGTGATTTTGATTTATAATTCCATAAGATGACAAGTTCATAATTTCCCCCCTGTAACTTAACATGGAAAAACAAATATGTTTAGAAAGGAACTCTTATACATTAAGATTAAAATATCAGTTTATTTCTTAAAATGAGAGAAATGTAACTTTCAGTGACTTGATGGTGATATTGTTCTATGTCAGTTTCACAGTTAACAAACATTGCAAGGTATTTTCTTTGAGAAGAATTATTTATTTGAAACCAGTAACTGCTGTATCTGCATTCAGAATTTATAGTGTGTTTTTTTTTCCTTTGAGATATTAGACATCTGCCCTTTAAATTAGTAAAGGGCGCTATACAACCTCGTTCTATCAAAAACAATATTAAACAAGATTGATTGTTATATGATAAATGGCACTATCGACATAATCATAATCAAGCATATTTTTTTATAGTTAGTGCCAAAATCTGTCCTTTTATTAAAAAAAACTTCCATAAACAGACCTCTGATAAATTATCCTATTAGAAGGATTTTTACTTGATTTTATAATCATTTTCTTTTTAAAAAGTTTGATTAATCATGGGTGGAGAACCTCCAGCCTGCAGGCTATATAAGGCCCACAAAATCATTTGGTCTGGTCCTGGTAAAGCATTAGGGGTGAGTTAATTAAGTGTTTAACCAATTATAGCAGGCTCATTTTTAAGTTGATAAATTTGTATGGCCTATGAATGATGTTATAAATATCCAAATGGTCCTTGGCAAAAAAAAAAAAAAAAAAAGGTTCCCCACCCCTGAACTAAATCATATAAATTTTTGATGGGAGATACTCTACTAAATTGTATTAAACAAAAATTATTTTAGATTTGAGGGCCATGTGGCTAAGGCATAGATTGTAGAAGATGCTGACCATTGCTTTGGCATGCTGCCCATTAACTGGCAAGTGGGTTGTTAGAAATTTCTTCTAAGCAAGGAAAGAATGTGTAAAACCATCATGTAGTGAAAATACTTAAATTTTTGTGATGGATTAAAGTTTTGAGCAGCGTTAAATATTTTTTTAAAGGAATGGTGTCTAGTGTCACCAAATTTAGATATGTTAAATAGAACATACCGTCATTTTTCTAAAATCAGACATTTAGTTATTATCGTTGATCTTGTATCAAAGTTTAGACTTGAAAGCACAGGAACTCTAGCCTAGAGTGCATTCTGCTTAGCAACCGACTTGTCTGCTGTTTTGCTACTGAATGCACATACTCATGGCTCATAAATGTATCTGAGCCAGCTGGTCTCAACCAGACAATACTTCATTCACCTAATTTCCAGACTAGTCAGGCAGAGACATCAGCTCATTGTATTTAGCCATGAGGAAATTTTATTTGTAAACTTTAAGTAGTAGCACACTGATCTCAAATGCCCCTGAATTAGGAGAAATTGCCTTTTAATTTGGGAATGTGAAGTCCTTGGAATTTAGAACTGTTTCACTTCATTTTCCTTAAAAACTCTTGAAAGTATATTGCTTGAAAAACATAGCCTCTAAAAATCCTAGAAAAAAGTAATAACTCTTAGTAGAAAATACACATTAAAAACTAAGAATACTTTTATAACTATTCTCTGAAAACAGAAATTTAAGAAGTTTGATTTGTGTTCATTTATTGACTATCTTGAGCCTCATATGATTATTTTCTCTCTTAGAAAACAACAGTTTTGTTGGCATGTGAAGCTCCAGTTTCCTCAGAGTCAAGCTGTTTACATAGAAAAAAGGTATAGTAACACCAACTATCTATTAAGAATTTGTTAACTTAAATGTGATGTTAATAAATGTGTGTTAGTGGTAGGAATGGATAACTAAGTTGTGGTGTATTGATACAATGAAATGCAAACATCAGCAGGGATTACTATATTGTGCAGCAAATACATTATTTTCGAAATGTACATATGTATACTCATAATTGGAAATAAGTTACATAAGTAGTTTTTATCTTTTTTCCATATTGTGAACATTTTCAAGTATCATTTAAAAGTTTTAATGCTTGTATACAATTTGATTCCTTGGGTTATGAAAATTTTTAAAAGTTGCCTTTTAGTTAATATATTTAGCATATATCTAAATATAATAGACTAGAGGTTCAATGTACAAAGATCCATGCAAGAATAGGCTTTTCTTTCCCTGGCTATTGGCACTGGCTTCCCTCCGACACCCGGGACCCGGACCTCACTCTGGCCGCTGCCTTCGCTCTGGCCCTGCCACCCTCCTGTAGCTCCCTCTACCCCCTGTATCCCCCTCATAGCAGGCGTCCCGACCCGCCCCGGGTGCTCTGCACCTGCACGTGTGCACTACCCAGAGGCCTGGAGCACCCAAGGCAGGATGGAACACAAGCATCCCTGCTCAGCAGCTGCCATCTTTTTTTTTTTTTTTTTTTAATATATTTTGATTTTTTACAGAGAGGAAGGGAGAGAGATAGAGAGCTAGAAACGTCAATGAGAGAGAAACATCGACCAGCTGCCTCCTGCACACCCCCCACCGAGGATGTGCCCGCAACCACAGTACATGCCCCTGACCGGAATCGAACCTGGGACCTTCCAGTCTGAAGACCGATGCTCTATCTACTCAGCCAAACCGGTTTTGGCCGCTGCCATCTTTGTTGCGGGGTGACGGTCAATTTATATATTCCGTCTTTATTAGATAGGATAGTGCACCTTCTTGTCATTGTCATAGATTTTAGTTGAAAAACTTTATTTGAAGGTGCATACCAAACAAGAGACAGTGAAAAGACTTAAAGTTTTCAGATAGAGCTACTTATCATAATCCTAACTAATAAAAGAGCAATATGCAAATTAACCATCACTCCTAAAGCCATGCCCAAGCCATGCCCACCAGCCAATCAGAGTGAGTATGCAAATTAACCCCAACCAAGATGGCTGCAGCCACAGAGAGCAGTTGAGAGGCTTGGGTTTCAATAGAGGAAGCCAAGCTTTCCACACATCCTGGCCAGCCTAGGCCTCCACTCAAGGCTACAAAGTTTCAATTATAGAAGATATATAAAACCAAACAGAAATTGTGGCAGCCGGAGTGAGCAGATTTGGCTCCTCTCCAAATTGTAAAGGTAAATAAATTCCAGATATCAGGCTCTCCTTGGGTCACCAAGGGGCGTGGTTGACCTGCAAACCACCACAGGCCCCTCGCCCAGGCTGCCCGACGCCCCAAGGGAACCCCCACCCTGATCTGGGACATCTTTCAGGGAAAACCAGCTGGCCCCCACCCGTGCACTAGGCCTCTATCCTAAAAAGAGATTAATATGTAGATTAACCACCACTCCAACACACAAGATGGCTGCCCCCATGTGGACACAAAATGGCAGCAGGGGAGGGCAGTTAAGGGTGGCCAGGCTGGCAGAGGAGGGAAGTTTGAGGCAAACAGTCTGGCAGGGAGCAGTTAGACATCAATCAGGCTGGCATGGGAGTGGTTAGGGGGTGATCAGGCTGACAGGCAGAAGTGGTTAGGAAGGCAGGCAGGCAATCAGGAAGGCAGGCAGGCGAGCAGTTGGGAGTCAGCACTCCTGGATTGTGAGAGGGATGTCCAACTGCCTGTTTAGACCCGATCTTGGTGGGATCTGGTCTAAATGGGCAGTTTAACATCCCTCGAGGGGTCCCAGATTGGAGAGGGTGCAGGCTGGGCTGAGGGACACCCCCATCCCGTGCACAGATTTCCTGCACCGGTCCTTAGTAATATATAAGAATGCCAGATGCCTGGTGCACAAAATTTGTGCAAGGGGGGGGGGGGGTTGGAGGGTCTGTCAGCCCAACCTGCACACTCTCCAATCCGGGAGCCCTTAGGGGGTGTCCGGGACCTCTGGCTTCTAACTGCTCACCTGTCTGCCTGCCCTAACCATTCTGTCTGCCTGCCTGATCCCCCTAACTGCCCTCCCCTGTTGTTCTGGTTGCCTCTATTGACTTTTCTTATCCCCTTCACACACAATTGTATTTGACTTTCTTATTGGCTTCTCCTTCTCGCTCAATTTTTCTCTCCTTTATGTAACACTTTTTCCTACTGACTCATCATTTATAAACTTTTCTTTCCTCCTCATTTCATACTTCTGTTCCATCATCCTTCCCATCTTTCTCCTACCCTCCCTTCCTCCCTCTCCACATTCCTCCTTTCCTTTATTTTTACCCCTGCCATGCTTCCCCTTTTCCTTCCTTCCCATTTTAATTTTTTTCTTCACTTCCTCTGTTGGACCTGCTCTGCTCCCTCCTCCATTTCCTCCTTCTTCCCATTCTCCTTTAAGCTCTACTGGCTCCCCTTTAAAGCCTTTCTTCTCTCCCTCTTTCTCTTTCATCCTACTTTTCCCATATACTCTTCTCTATTTACTTCCACTGTTTTAATTTCTATTACCTGCTTAATTATTCACTATCCTTTATCTTTTTTCTTTTCTGACTCCTACTTTTAAAATCTCTCCCCAAGTACACAACTATACTTGATTTTCACATTATAGCTCCTACAGTTCACTCATACATCCTCTTTCTTTCTTTAACTCTGCTCTCTACTGACTTCTTTATAAAGTCCTTCCCTCCCCCCTTGTTAAAGCTTCCGTTCAGGGGGGCATTAACCCCCAGCCCAGGGTTCAGCCCCGGCCAGGTGCTTGCCGTCCCCCTTCCCCAGCCTCCTGCTCCCATTCCCTGCCCGGACACCTGGCCCAGCGAAGGCGGCTGAGGCCCGACAACCCGCAGTGCCTCCACACAGAAGGCCTCAGACCGTCCCCACTCCGCCCCGGACCCGTGGGCACCTCCCTGCCAACAGCCCACACCAGGGGCCACTGCCCTCCTCCTGTGTCTGGGTGGGGCTCCTGCCCTGCCCCTCGCTGGGTGCACCTTCTTCCCCCCACCCCTTGCAGTCACTATCCCCTCCCAAGTGGAGCCCTGCATTTCCTTCCCTTTTCCATTCCTGTGTCTTTTTCTTGTTCCCTTTCTGTATTTCTGTTTCTTCTCTTGGCCTGTCTGCATGCATGCCTTCCTCTCCCTCTCCTTTCTTATCCTCTCTTAGCATATCCTATCCTACCCTGGGCCTTGCAGCTGCCTGAGCAAGGGCAGGGACGCAGCCTGCTTATCCAGTCGTGACGTGCTGCTGTGACAAATACTTTTCATGTTTCTCTATTATTAGTATAGATGTGTAAATGGTTGAGGAAAATTACATATTTGCCATTTTACATTTTAAATGTTGCCTTGCAACTTTTAGTTACTAAGTTCAAAATAGTGCCTTAGTTTTTCTCTACAGCTTTATAGTTAGAACAATACATATAGAAAAGTTGGGAAACCTAAAATGCTTTGTTTCCAGGGAAAGCAGTATCAAATTTTTAACCTGGTCTTAATGATTTATAATGAATAAACTTGAACATGCACTGAAATTAGCATCACCTGAAACCTTTTTTCAGGTTTTTTATTTCTACAACTTTCAAATATATTTCATCCTGACTTCTTTCTTTTCATCTTTGAACATAGGTGTGTGTTAAAAGAGGATTCATATTTTTGTGATTAATTTATAGGGATCAAAATAATGTTTTTTAAGATTTTGTTAAGTGTGTCCAAGAAATCTTTTAAAGCTATTTTTAAAATGTAAGTAGTTTAATGCTTAACAAGCCATTATATTTTGCCAAGAGTAAAATAAAAGGTCTATGTTCAATTATTTAAACAAAAACACTATAAGATTTAGTAATTCTAAATTAACACCTTTAGTAGAAAACTATAAATAATAAGTTTTGGGGTTCTTTTTCTTTTCTTTTGTTTCAAAGAGTACCGGATAATAAAACTATTAATGAAATCTTAGCAACTTACATTGACCCAGAAAAATCTGATCCTGTAATTCGTCAAAGGTATGTTTTTAAAATCTTTTCACTTTCTGAATTATTTAAAAATGTCGAGATATTTGTTATGTGCATATTTAATATGGGAAGTCATGACTTTATTAGAATTGATGTGTCAGTGCCATTTACTTTCTGCTCCATTCCTTGGTTTTTACTCAAGGCTTTTTTAGTCAGAGATGCTGCTTTTTGGATAGGTATAACAGTACTTACTCTACTGTTTTCCAGGCTCTTTGAAGCAGATAATGATAAATGTATTAATTTATTTAATTCTCACAATAACCCATTAAGGTAAGTTAGTGGTATTACATAGCCATTTCACAGAAGGGGAAACTGAACCATAAAGAGGTTAAATGACTTTATGTAGCCAATAAGCACAGGGAAACTGGGATTCAAACCCAGGCAGTCAGGAGTCAATGTCTACACTCTTAACCCTTAAGCCAAAATGCCTTTCAGGTGGAACCCAATACTGAAAATTAGGAGTTTCCCAGTAACTGTTAAAGACAGGAAATCCTATTTTAGCCAAGTCTTCATAAAACTAAGTAAGATACACTCTGTCTCCTGTCCAAAAATACAGCATGGACAAAAATAATTAACATAGCATAGTGGAAAGAATCAGTAATGAAGGTCTGGTTAGAATAATTAGCTCAATTCCTTATTAGCTATATGATCAGGGGTAAGTTACTTCACTTGTGGGCCTTGTTTTTTTCTCATTATAAGAGATCGATGATAATCTACTAGATAGGATTCTTATGAAGCTTAAAAAACAGCATATATAAGTTCCTACTACAAGGCTTAGCCCATAGTCGGCAGTGCTTTAAAAAGGGAACTATTATTAGAATGCTTGTTATTAGTGTTCCTAGGCAAGAACCCAGTTGACTTTCTTTTCACCAGATGGTACTTACTTGGATATGAATGCTTGGTTTTGCTCCAGAGTAACTTGGTGTTTAAAATTTATACTGAGTGGATTCTGAAATGTCTGATTCAGTTTTAGTTAAATCTCATCATACACTTTTGATGAAAGGTAGAGCCCAAGACTGAATCAGATCCATGTCACATATCAAACAGTGTGTTGGGACATGTATAATAGTTGAATTTTATTCTAATTATTGAGAATCCAGTTGTTATTATTGTTCATATATCTGGCAATAACACAAAATACCTGCCACTTTATTGCATACATTAAAAAAGTTAAATAGCAAGATTAATTACTTAATTATTTTTAATTTAAGTTTTTAATTATACAGAAAGGGAAAAAAAGGTAATTTTATTGTTGTTAATCCTCACCTCAGGATATTTTTCAATTGATTTTTTTTTTCTTATTCAGAGAGTGTGGAAGGTAAAGAGAGTGGGGTGTGGGGGGGGGGGGAGAGAGAGAGAGAGAGAGAGAGAGAGAGAGAGAGAGAGAGAGAAAATTCGATAGGTTGACTTCCGCACACACTTCACCCCAACTAGGACTGGGATTCAAACCTGCAACCCAGGTAATGTGTCCCTGACCTAGAATCTAACCCACAACCCTTTGGTGTGTGGACCAACTCTAACTACTGGGCAACACCATCCAGGGTGAGAATGGTATTTTTTAAAAATTCAGATCCTTGGTTAGAAAATGCACTTAGCCTTTTTTCTATGCTTGTATAGATATATTTTAAGAATTGTTAGCTGTTCATAAGTGTTCTTCCATGACACTAGCTTAAAATATATTAAAAATTGCCCTTTTAATGTAATATTTTTATTTCAGATTGAAAGCTTACATTCGCTCTCAGACTGGGGTCCAAATTTTAATGAAGGTCGAAAATATGCAGCAAAATTTAGTAAGGTAAAATTGCTTCCCTCCATTTATTTAATTATTTTATAATTCTGCAATATAATTAAGTAGCTAATTATTATACTAATTATATGGCTATTAATAAACCCTAGGCTTTAAAAATGGCTTTAAAATTAAATTTTTAAAATAATCTCCCTTAATAGGATAGATTTGGTTGAAAAATCACCCCGGTTGGAATATTTTAAAATAACATCATTTTATTTCTAAGTTGCATTTTAACTTATTTCAAGAAATAATCTCTTTAACAGAGTACCAGTTCCATCTCCAGTGTGCAAATTGTTTTTGGAAATACAGGAATTCTTGTGACCAGCTGATTACTGCATACATTGCAGTGGAAAGAACACTGCATAGAAATGTGAAGAGAGATAGGTTCTAACAAACTGAATGATTTGGTGAAGTTCTCAACATCACTGGGCTCTGTTCCTTCTTAAATAGAATGAAGCACACTACACTAAATGATCTCCGAGGGTCCCTGCAGTCTGCTTAAGTGCCAGCTATGTGTTGGCTACTAAATTGCAAAACACTTAAGTTTTTTGCAAACTTAAGTGGTCATTTAAGACTCCTAATGCTTTCCCCCCATTTTCATTGTTTAATTAACAAAACTGCTAAGTACAATTCAGACTAGGTATGATTGGCCTTTTCTACAATTTGATTTGCTGGTATGGCTTAGCGGTTTGAGAGTTCAAGTAGTGAAAGCAGAGCTATGTGTAAATCCTAACTCTCTGCTTGCTGCTAATTGTGTTAGTAAGTAAGTTATAACCTCACTTGCCTTAGTTTTCCCATGTCTAACATGGGGATGATAATAATAATTATAAGATTGTCATGAAGGACCAAATTAATTCATTTAGCACATGGTAAGTGTATGCTTTTACTAATATAACTACTACTATTAACTACTACAGGTAAATGGATTTTTACAAAAGGCCTACCTATAACATTATAAGACATTATATCTAATAATGCAGTTCATACTTTAATTCTGCTATTTCCCCTAAAATATTTGGAGCCTCAGATAAGAAGGTAGAAAGTTCTGTGGCTTCTGCAAAGATAGTTATCCATGCTAGCCAAAATCAATTATTTCTGAAATTGGTAATCAAACATAATTAATGAGAAATATTGATTAAAATGTGCATATTTTCTGTTTTGTTTGGTAAACTCCTAAAGCGGATTTTATATAAATCATGTCTAAACAAAATTATTTGTATTTCTCCCTTAGAATTTACCTCTGGTCAGTCATTAGTTAATGTTTTTTCATTTTTTATTATCTGTGTTTCCTCTTCCAAATTTGGCTCCTTTCTTAACATGCACCATATTTTATCTAAGTAGTTCATGTAATTGTTATTCTTTTTTCATACTTTGGTGCATACTTGATGAATATATTGTGGCTTCAGTCTCATAAGCTTCTAAGAGAACTCTTACCTGAGGGGTTTTGTTAAAAGTGAAATTACTTTTTTGGATAGTTGTCGCATCTCAACTTCTCTAGGCCATGGAAATAACATGTTTTCCAGTCTTTGCCTGACAACCTGGAAGTTGTTCCTGTTTTAAATGTAAGATACTATTTTAAAGTTTATAGTATAGTACAGACTGTTTGGGCCCATATAGCATTCATTTTTAACTTGGAAATGTGTATTGTAAATTCTTGAAGAGGCAAAGGGGATGGAGATTTTAACTTGTCTTAGCAGACCAGGGTTTTCTAGGAATGTGACAAAAATGCATGACATAATCCAGGGGGAAGTGGTTGGGAAAACCATTTCATGCAGTTGCATAGAAAGAAGTCAGGATACATAGATACCAGAACACAGGAGAATGCCAGTAGATTGGTATCGTTTATTTTATAATAACAGAGTCAAAGAGGGTAAACCTGGACCCCCCCAAAAAGGACACTGAAATGAAGGTTAAATGACCTAATTCTAAGCACTCAACTTCACTACTTCATTTTCTTTGGGTCTTTTGTTTTCCTTATCTTATAATCTTATTTCTTTAGAAACCTGGGGCGGGTGTTGGGCTTTGGGTTAATCTTTATCCCCAAAAAGGAAGAAATAATAGGTTAATAAAATAAAAGGTGGGTCATGTTAACTAGAAAACTTTTCATCAGATTTTCCCATTTGAATTGTTTACTTGAACTCATTGCTGCCCAACAGAAAAGAGGCAGCAGTTATAACCTACATCCAAAAATTGGGGATTTAAAAATTCCATTTATTTATTTTTTAATCCTCACCCAAGGATATTTTTCCATTGATTTTTAGAGAGAGGGAAAGATAAAGAGAAATATTAATGTGAGAAAAACACATTGATTGGTTGCCTCCTCCACACATCTGACCACCTGAGACGGAGAGGACCCTACAACCAAGGTCCGTGCCCTTGGCTGGAATCAAACTTGGGACCCTTCAGTCCTCAGGTCCACGCTGTGTCCACTGAGCCAAACCAGTGAGGGCCCACCTCATTTAACTTGGAGTAGTGGTGGCATCACTTTAAGGCAGTTATGGTTTTAAAAATAGTTACTTAAAAAAGAAACTCCTATCGAGGTAGCTTTTGTCCTCATATGGACCTACATTTCCAGTTAAGTCAGCTTCAAGATAAAATTATCCTAATTTCTACAAAAACTTCTCAGTATCATAAGTGTTTTCTGATCCTATATAATAAAATCCTAATATGCAAATTGACCGAACAGTGGAATGACTGGTTGCTATGATGCATAGTGACCACCAAGGGTCAGACGCTCAGCGAGGTGAACGCCACTTAGCCAGAAGCCAGGCTCACAGTTGGCAAGCCCAGCGGTGGTGGGGGGAGCCTCTCCCACCTATGCGGCAGCACTAGATAACCCTTGGGGGATGCCAGACATTTCCCTAGGGGTACCGGACTGCAAGAGGGCCCAGGCTGGGCTGAGGAACCTCCTCTCTCCCCTCCCCCCAGTGCATGAATGTCATGCACCGGGTCTCTAGTAATGAAGTTAGGTATTATGGGAGTACACTTAGAAATATTTTCTTTTTTAAGTAACTATTTTTAAAACCATAGTATTTACAGTACTATGGGTTATGTTAGAGATTCGTTCCTATAATAATACAGCACAACACAGTTTTCACTGTAAGTCAGAACCCACCTACATAGGCACCTATGTCACTCACATGGAGCACATGCACAGCAGTAATGAAGTGAAACGGTAAAAAAAATTTAAAAGAAAGATAACAATTCCTGACCTTTACTTGTGGTAAATAAATAATAAAAAACATAAAATACATATGTGCATCAGTGGGTGGCACCAGGCCACTAGCCAAGGCGGGTGCCAGCAGGGACCCTCCAATTTCCCTGCCCACCAGTCCTCTCACAGATGGCCCTGATTGCTAGCTAAGCCTAGGGACCACATTCTATATATTGGGAATAGTCTCTTAGATTTAGAAATTAAAACCTGGCAAGGCTACTCTAACTGAAAAAAACAGGATGATGCAGCAATGACATGCATGGAATCTGGCTTGCACATTTTATGGTCTGCTCTGATTCTGACACTTAAAACTGTGTGACAAAGCCAATTACTTAACATCTCTCTGCTTCAGTTTTTCCATTCATAAGAGGGAAAATGGTACTACTGCCTCAGAAGGATCGTGTTATGTACTACTTTTTATAATCAGGGCAAAAAAAATTTAGCTGCCCATACAACAGCCAGATGCCTTTCACCTGTATGAAACATATGGTCACTGGTGCATGCAGCATTCCAGATTGCTAGAGGGATGTCCAACTGCCAGTTTAGGCCTGACATCCTCCAAGAGGTCCTGGATTGAGAGGGTTGCAGGCCAGACTGAGGGACTCCCTGCCCTTTCTCTCTCACACGCACGCACGCGCGCGCGCGCGCACACACACACACACACACACACACACACACAAATTTTGTGCACTGGGCCTCTAGTATATTCATAGGGTAGACTAGGATGAGCATTTACATTTGACTGTATACTTACAGTTATACTGTTAAAGGAAAGTACATTCAAGAAAATATCTGAGTAAGGTTATTATAGGTTATAAAATGTTAGGTTTCTAATTTAAGATAAGCATGCTAAATAAGAAGATTTTATTATTTCCTGAAAAATGCTTAGAGGGCAAAAATAAGTAGTTGTCTTGTGGCTGTCTGACCTTAAATGTATCTTATGATTTAGTGTTCTGGTAACTTCAGAGTAAAGTCTTTTACCAAATGCTTGATGTTTCCAATTCCCACTGGTAGTGTTTTTCGTTTTTTGAGGGTTTATTTTTTTTATTTTTTATTTTTTAAAAATATATTTTATTGATTTTTCACAGAGAGGAAGAGAGAGGGATAGAGAGTTAGAAACTTCGATGAGAGTCATCGACCAGCTGCCTCTTGCACACCCCCTACTGGAGATGTGCCCGCAACCAAGGTACATGCCCTTGACCGGAATCGAACCTGGGACCTTTCAGTCCGCAAGCCAACGCTCTATCCACTGAGCCAAACCGGTGCCGGCCGTTTTTTGAGGGTTTATAACAATTGTCTCATGTTATACCTGATCAGTTAGAGCAGTCTTAAATGTTTCCCAGGATTTAGCTGTACCATAATTTTTAGATTTAAATGTTCATGAATACATGTTTAACCCTACAAAATTTGTTGTTGGTCTATTTGGGACTTTTCTTAACAGAAAACACAGAATTTGAATTTGTGTCTTTTTATAAAAGCTAATATGGCTTCTTAAGTAAAATCTTTTATTCATTCAGCAAACAGTGAAGATCTACTATGGCGCAGGTACTATTCTAGACATTATAGTGATATCAGTAAGAAAATCACTCCTGCCTCTGTGGGTCTCACATTCCCAGGGGAGAATTTACATAAGGTGCTTGTGTTAGCAAGGCCATACTTGCTCTCTTGCCACATCATTTCTTACCATCTTTCTATCTCAGAACGTAAATAAATGGTTTGAAGCAGAAAAGCCTAGATCTTTTATCTTTATTAGGAAGTGTCACTTTCAAAATATAATTAGGTCCCTCAGAGA